CTATAACCTGACTGATGGAAAATACCCATCCTTGGGTGCTGCGGACTCTCCACCTACAAAATATGCTATGGCCACACAACCTCACCTGCTCATACCAATAGGGAAGCTGCCTTATACATCTGGATTTGGTTGGTCTGCTTCTTGATTATTTTAGACTTAGTCAAAACCTGATGTGTGGTTACACCCAACTTTGCCAATGACTGCCACTCTGCACACACTTATCTCTTAACAGATGCTCTGAACTTGGAAACGTCGTGCCTAAATAACCCTCCTGTGTATGACTGGGATTGGCCTTGCAGGCAGAGCTCTGGCAGCTGCACATTTGACAGCTGTGATCTGGGACACGTGTCCACTTGGGATGTGAGGTCAGTGGGGTGCAAGATGGCAGAATTACTCTTCGGGATGAAGGATGAAAGAGTCCATGGGGTCTAGCAGGCTCCAAGGGAAAGCTATATCTCCAGAACATACTGAGCTCAACAGAGGGACTTCTAGGAAATACTGGACACACTGTAGCCAGCTAATGGTGTTACAGGTAGCACTTAACCTCTAGTCACAAGAGTAGTATTAAAGCTTTTTACTGAAACTGTTGGTATGACCATTAGCCAAATAGTGGTGGTGCTTCCACTTCATGCTGGAGAACTGAGGCATGATGTAGGTGTTCTTGTGTCTATTTTCAGAGCTTAACTTGCAACTGACACTCCCATTTAGAAGCCAAAATCCTATTGGCTTTGAGGTGTCATATTTTTTTCCCAGAGTTTAGAGCAGAAGTTCTGAGGTCTCTGCCTATCAAGCTGCCTCCTTAGATGTTTAAAATTGAGATTGGACTGCCTAAGATTACAAATGCTAGCTAGCTCTTGTCAGTGAATATTTTAAAAGGTAAGGATGTTCCTGAAGATGAAGATGCAGAGGCAAGCAGTCTGCAGCAAAAGACTCAGCAGCTCTTGAAGCTTTTGCCACCGATTTTTCTGTAGAACTGTGCAGTGTGGAGGAGGTTGGGAGGGCTGTTGGTGGTTCTTGCTGTTTGGGGGAGGAGGGATTGATACGAGTGATGAATTTATCTTTCTCAGAGACCAGCTGTCTGACTATACAGATAGTGGTGACTTTGGTTGTTATGTGCTTAAGGAAAATAGGCAATATCGCTCACTGTGGTTTGGGCAATATGCAAATAAAATGTGTATTGCCAGGTGGAAAATATGCTCTGCTGGTAACTGTACTGATGCAGACCTTCCTGTTTCCATTGCAATGATGGACTCTTCACTGACTGAGGTGAGTGCTGTCTCTGATGCCCGAGATGTGATTTTTGAATGGGTTCAAGCATTTAGTGCCTTTCTCAGATCCCAGCTGAGCAGCTATAAATCAGCACTGCTCCAAGGTGAATGGAGCTGGCATCGGTCAGCAGGGTGCTGTGACATCTTGTTCTGTGTGGGGTAGCCCCCTCTATTTGGGCACACTTCTGGAATATACTGTATTATAGACCCAAATATCTTGATGTCCATGTGCATCTGGGTTGTGCTTTTAGCCGGCGAGTGTTTTAAATGTGGTTTCAAGGCTTGAGACAGTACCGTTTCTACAGCACTACTCAGTTCTGCCAGGGAAGTCTGAGCGATTTTGCGCTTCTTATCCACCTGCAAGAAGCCACAAGATGTTTTAGCTGTGAACACTGCCTTTCTCTGCACTTTCTCCTGTGGCTACCATGTAACAGCTGAAAAATGACATCTGTGCTGTATGGAAACCTTCCTTCAGCTGGTGTGGTCAGATATACCATTGCTGCTGTATCAAATCCTGTATCTACAGCTTGAGCTGTCAGTTGGCTTTCCCATGGCAACAGCAAGATGAGCTGCAGCTCAGCACACCTACCTGTGCTCAGTGCCAAAACACTCACTATTGAAATCTAGACCTCAGCCCTGCCATGCAGGGCTTCTAATTAGCTTTTCAAACTGGTATTGGTGGTGGTGATGGAAGAGCATTGGTCAGTGGTTTCTGTGAACCTGGAAATAACATTTGCAAGGCTAATGAGCAGGCAGCCTCAGTCCTACCGTAGCTGAGGGGTGGTACCTGCAGCAATGGCAGTTGTAGCAGCAAATCAAGGCAGCAGATGCAGTGAGGATAAAAAGTAAGAGTGGTGGAGACTGCCTGTGGTTTCAGTACACCACTCGGTTGGGGTAGAACAGATAAGGAGCTTCCAGCCTGTGCTGCTACTACTTAAGATACCTTAAAGAGGATAATCTCAAGGGCTCTTGCTCCATCCAGTCCTTCTGGAAAGTCACAGCATTGCAAAGTTGTTCACAATGCCTGTGCTTCATTGCTCTGGAGCTTTCTGTAATTCCAGCTTGGCTCAGAAATGGTTTCTTTTTTTAATAATATAAACTTCCTGTGTGAATATTCTAGAGAGAAAATGAAAATGTTAAAGCTTGTCCTAGAGAAAAGGGAAACGGGCTGTGTCCAGTATCTGTTCTAAAAACTGTGACGTGCAGCAAGATTTGAATATCCTTGTTTAATAGGAAAAGTCTCCCTGGTGACTTTTTTATTATATTATGGGTGCAGATGTGTTTGAGCAGAACAAGCCCTTCAGCATGTAAGTAACAAATTATTTTGTCAAAGCTTTGTCCCCAAAGGAGTTTAGGGGCTATTTAATAAAGGATTGAGCCCTTGTGAGAGCCAGATGAAGCTTGGGCTGCTTATATTTATTTTGATTTATAAATATGAAAGTCCTATCATAGTGTGAAAACCAGATGCCTTCCAAATATTAATACTCGTCTGGAAGGACTTACATAAGGCTGCGGCCAGAACTTACCTGCTGTGATAGAGGATCCTTGGATTATTAGGCTAATTGAAGGGATGGAGGGGGGAAGTGTGATTACCATTGTACTGCAGGATCTTCTTCAACACAATCTTTTTATTAGGAAGAACCACCATTCTCTAATGCCCTAGGCAAACAGATTTTTATTAGGAAATCTGGAATGTTTGGGTTTGCTTCTTGTTCTCAAGATTTATTTTTTTTTGCTTTAAGCATACCCTGTGCAATCCATGGGAGCTGACAATCCTAATAGTCAGTATGGAGTTTTAAAAACTGAATTGAGGGTTTTCATGTGGTTACCTCTGGAGGGAGAGGGCATGCAGAATAATGTATTGCTCTAGTGGGTTCTTGGTGATGCAAGGAGGTTTTTGTTTGTTTAGGTGGTGTGGGGGGTGTGTGTGTTCTAAAAGCCCTTTAGATGTCTTTGTTTTCATTCCAACATGCTCTTCATTTTCACGTTCTCCTTCCCCAATACTCCTGTAGACCTAATGGCCTAAACAAGGCAAATGCAATGTTGTACTTCCTTAAGCTTAATAGAGAATTCAAATAAGAATAAAAATAGCCTGGATTTGCATTAGAGGAAGCATCCAGCTGGCTGGGGCAAGGCTCTGAGTGCAGTGGAGCTGCGATGGGTGAAGGGTGGTGAGGAGAGAGAGCAGGCACTTACTCATGCTGGGAACAGCCACTTGCTCTCGGAAGTGACTGGAGGCTTTGGTCACCTCCTTTTCAACTTTGCTGGGTTTCCTGGGTCCTCTGAGGATGTTTGAGGCGGAAGCAATGATACCAGAACACAGATGATCACTCACTGATGTGGCTTTTCCGTTGTCCTCCCCTGACTTCAATAGCGCTCTTGTGACACTTGTTACGTAGGGAGCTACTCAAAGCTGGCCAGCCTCATACCTGCTCTGCTTGGAGATGGGTTGTTTGGTTTGGGTTTTTTTTTTTTTGCCTATTTAGCCTTCTCTTCAGCAGTGGGTGAAGTTCATCACAAGTCATTACCGACTTAAACCTTTAAACCTCTGTTTCACCCTCTATTCTCAACCATAAAGAGAGACCAATCGATTGAATAAGGAAGCTGGAGTTATCTGGGGTGAAACAAGGAAGAGGGATATTTCCTTTTCATTACCCCTTTGCCATATTAAGAGACTTAAGAGGATGCTGGTTTTGTCTGTGATGTGATAAGACTCTGGTCCAGAACAGCACTGTGGCGATTAAAGTAACATGACTAAAGCTATGTACCAGTCTCTAACTGCTGAATTCCTCTCTGCTGTTTGCATGCAAAAGGAGGAGGCCTGAAGTCTTCTGCAGTGGCTAGGTAATTGTTATCTATAATATTGAAAACTAGTGTCATTCAAAGGTGTACACTAAAAAGTACAACACAACAAGCAAGTTTTCTGCATTATGAAAAATCTGCTTGGTAAAGCTGTTGCTATTAATGCTTTTATTTACTTAAATGAGTCTTAAATCTATAGCCGAGTGAAACTCTGTGCACCTCACTTGTCAGGTGTGAGGTCAAGACCTGGAAAATGGATTGATCTTGATGCACAGCATTAAGATGGAACAATGGTGTGGTAATGCATGGGTTGGCAATCTGAAAACATGAAGTCAGGAGCCAAAATACATCTCCCAAGTATGATATTTCTGAGAAGGTTTCTGCAGAAACATAGTTATCACTCCTAATGGCGATAGCATGCTAAGCTACATACTATGTATGGGTGGCTTTCGACCAGTGGGTGAGTCTGCATGCCCTTACCATCTAATTCTTCACTGCTGAAATAATGCAGGCACAGCTGGGGGAATTATTAAAACTTTGCCATACAAATCTTCTACTCTATGGCAATCCTTTCCCTGGTACTAACTCTTCTTTCTTTTTTCCATTAAGACTGACTGTGCAGAGCCAACTCTACCAGCTGGCCTGATCCCATCCAGGTTAGGTTTTGTGCAAGCTTTTAAAAGCCTTTATCATGATTATTTAATATGGATGAGTATCTGAAAGAACTTTGTTTTGGCAGTGATCACTTAACTTCACCCCAAGAAGTTCTTACATCCTCTTTGGAAAGAACTGCACCTGTAACAGGTAAAACCTTAATTTGGGGCACAGGTGTGTAAACTTTTTGCACTGAAAGTCTTGGAAATGGATAAGCTCTAGTCTGCACGTGTGCTGAACAGTAAAAGTTCTGTCTTCTGTTGCCTGATGCTATAGGCTGCCTTGCTATGGAGGAAAAATCAAAGTGCTCACATGAAAAAGAGGAAGATGTGCCAACTTCTCTAGCAATGGTGAAGAACAGCAATAAGGATCCAGCTGGTCCTGTATCAGGTACAGTGACTGCTGCAGTGCCTTGGCACTTGCACAGGAAATGGCTTGCTTTCAGCACTACTTTGGAGTGAGGAAGCCGAATAAGAAAAATAGCTTGTGAATGTCTATTTTTGCAATTATTTTCTCCTGCAAGTGCTCTCAACCCTCCCTGAAACTCTGAGTAGGAATAAGGCTTTACCTACTTAATGGTGGCCAATGGCCTACAGCACACCAAGAAGCAAGCATGAAAAAAGCTAGTGAAATCTTGATGCTTGCCAAGCTGGCAGAACATAGTGTGGATACTAAACCACAGGCAATTTTGGGAGAAGAGAGAAAGTTGTCATGGCTTTTAAAAAGTTTGGTCACAAATAGCTAGAGTAAATAATGCCCTCTTATCTTTCAAAAGTGAAGCTCAGTGCCTAAGAAGTTGGGATGGGTCAAGAAGAGATGATGAGAGAGGCCTTTGTGTATAGTTCTGTCTTTTGCTATAGCCATAAACACCCAGAAGAATTATGCTTACCAGATCTGGTGGTGCTTCTTTCACTTAAAAAATAAAAGCAAAACAAAACTGGAGTACATGCACGTGATCTATTAACACTATTAAAAAAACCCCAACTTTGTCTGAATAAGCAGCACAGGATATGTCTGCGTGCTTGTTTGTAACCATTTTTAACCTTTACCTAAATATAAGACTTTTTGTCGTCATTTCCTATTTGGTTTTGTTTCTTTCTTTAGTACTGTCTTCCTGACACCTAAAATCAGCCCCCTCACTTAAACATATTTTCTTTCTACTAATTTGCCTCTGCCGTTAATTCTCACATGTGGTTTAGTTGCCTTTGGCAAGGAGGAAACAGGTATGCAAAACAGATAAGAGAGTCCAAACGTCTTTAAAGTCTGAGATCCTGCTGCCTTGTTGCACATCCCTGAATAGAAAGTGTTTCCAGTATTGGAAGGGAGACACTGATGAATCTCCACTTGTGGTTTCTGCTAGTATCACACACTGTCTTTCAAAGGTGCTGGGGAGCCTGGTTGGACATATAGGGCTGCAGCACAAATCAACAAGGATAAAAGGGCATGCTAAGAAGTTGTTGTTGTTGTTGTTGTTGTTAAGGATGAAAAGAGAAAGCGCTTCAAATCTAAAGCTGCTTGTTGTACTGTTTCTTTGATTTGCAACTTTTTGGCAGTATAGGACTACATAATCAGCCAAAAAAATAATAAATTTTATGAGTTCTAAAAGGTATAAATAGCTACCAGTTACTGCTGCACAAGAAACTGGTGTGACTCTCAGACTTTCTTCAGTTTCTTAAATATTTTCTTATTAAATCTTTTTAATAGCTGTCTTTCTGGAGGTTATTATTGCTTGCTTTAAAACTTTTCTAAAATGCAGCACTTGGCAGGTTGTGTTGCACTTGAGCTGGCATCATCAGTTCCTGAACTTACCAGTTCATTGCCACTCACCTTTTGGCAAAGAGTTCTTTTGCTGGCTCTATCAGCACTCTGCTAGTTCACTTTTTAGGTACAAAGAACAGTCCAAGTGCTGGACCATGCTTGAAGCTTATGGACACCTGAAATACCACAACTGTATGCACTTGACAAGCTGGTTATGCTCAAACTCCTCTAACAGCAGCTGAAGTAGCATCTATGTCTTGACTTCATCTGATATTGTGTAATCTGAAAGGTGATAATTACAAATACTCATCACTTTTCCTGTTTAGTCTGTGCATTTGATTTTTTTTGTACATTCCTGAGCTTATAGAATTCCAAATAAAGATTTTAAACTGTCTCTTTAAATTGCAAACAAACAAAACAAAACCTATGCTGGTAGCAAAATAACGAAACTCATTTATTGAAGGGAATTTCGCTGTAACTCTTGCAACTTCAACTAGAACAACTACAACCAGTTATAATAACCTCACTTGTAGACATGTAATATTTCTTACTGGGTTATTTTTACAAGCCAAACATAACTATCATCCCGCTTCTTCCTTTATCTTTTTACAGTGTTCTTTGCCACTACCTCTCCTTCTTAATGCCCTGTCCTGACATTTGCTGCCATTTTTTAGCCCTGTTGGTCCATGGCTAGTACATCGGATGTTGGAGGCTTGCTTTGTTTTTATTGTTATGTTTGGTTTCTGTAATGTTTCTCTCTAGGAGCAGATCTGACCAAGAAGGAATTCTGCTCCATGACAGAAGAACAGAAGCCTGCTTTTCAACACATCTTAAAGCAAGAGTGGGTAAGAGTCCTAGTGGCAGTGAAACACAGAGCTGGTTTGGCTGAGCAGTGACAAAGATACCACAGGAGGGGACAGACCCTTCCAGTGGTGTTGTGGCTGTTCCCTTGCTGTAACTGATCTCTGATTTGCCTTTAGGAGGTGGACCAGGAAAAGAAAAATAATAAAGAACAGAGTGAGGAAGCACCAGCTGTGGCTCTCAGTAAGAAAGGTAAGAGATTTCTGCTGAACACATACATGTAACTAATTGAGGCACGTGCCTTGGTCACCTGGTCAAAAGCCGTGTTAAGAGGTGCAGAGAGCTGCCTGCCCCACACCAATTATGAGGGGATTTTGTTTTAAGGAATAGTAGCTGCAGTTAGAGAACAAAATGGATTAGCAGTGGAGAAAGAGAGAAAATGTTGTTTTTGCAAAATCTGCTTCTCTGACTCTTACAGATACTCATCTAACCAGCTCCATCTTCTAGACAGGAGGGAAAATTTCTTAGGAGCTGTGAAGGAGTTGAGATATTTGAAACAAGTTCTGGCATGCCTGCTCTTAAAGTATTTGTAAAGCAGCATCCTCTGTGGTAGCCAGAGCTTGGGGTAATACGATATAGATAGGCAGGATAATGTTTCTATTGAACCATGCTTAGACACCTCCACTCTTCTAGTCACCTCACCTTTTGCCTTTGGAGTCCACTGATGTAGTAAGTCCTGTACATCCTGAACCTATGGGCTGGGGACTTAAGCGAAAACCTATCATTAACCATTCCTGTGCTAATTAGATGCCAGTTGAAGCCAACCGAACAACTAACTTCGGGGGCTTTGTACAAGTGAGTGTTGTCTTACTGGCACTCTAACCCTAGTATAGTCTGAGGTACACCAGTTGCTTTTATTGGCAAGAGCTTAACACTGGAAATCTTTAACAGTGGTTTCTCTTGAAGCTTAAAAGACTTTCACAAACTGTTTTTGGGAGGCTGTTTTCACTTTTGTTTGAGAACTTTTTTCTCTCTTCTCAGGGAGTTCACCCATGACAGGTGGCATTAAAGGAGAGAAAACAAAGCAAAATGAGTCGTAAGTATTCTGACTTTTAATGATCACCTGCAGGTGTGAATTTAAAGCTGCAGTCTTACATGATTGCTTCTTCTTATCCTACAGTGACTCCCCTAATGAGAAAGAAGTGGAGGTAAGTCTCAACTGCTTGTATCCTTAAGTATCTCAGACAACAGAAATATCTTGTAGATAAGGACTGATTAATATTTTGTCCTATGTAAAAGAATGGTGCCAAGAACCTTTAAACTGGATGTATTTTATATAAATCGGCTTCTCAAACCTGTCTTTCCAAGCCTAATGGAAATTTTGGAAGAGATGGGATGGGAAAAGGTGGAAATCTGTGAAACTGAACAAAAGACTTGTCACCATTGAAACACTTGTTTGCAAGCTTGAAGGAGCATAGCTGTGACCTCCTCCCAGGCAGAACGTGCTGATTTAAGACAGTTTTGTCAGAAGACACAGATGGCACACTGCATGCTGCCAGGATATTGGCTATTCTGGCTGCACACTGTTTTCCCCATTACTGCAGATGGGAAGACTGGCTTTGGGGAAGTGGGCCATGTTCACTTTCTCTTCTGTATCTTTTCTATAGCTTTGTTCATGGGGTATAGTCACAAACGTCATGTCAGTATCCAAATCTACTTTTAAAACTTCTGCATCACTTGGGTTATTCTGAAGTCTTTTTCTTTCCCATAACAGGCTGAATTTCTGAGGCTGTCTTTAGGTTTTAAATGTGACTTGTTTACTTTGGACAAGAGAGTGAGGCTTGAAGAAAGGTCCCGAGACTTGGCTGAAGAAAATTTGAAAAAGGAGATCACAAATGCTCTAAAGATGTTAGAGGTTAGTATTGGCCAAGGCTGGCAGAGTGGATGGGATGAGCGGTTGTGAAAGGATCTCTCTTAGTACGGCTCTTTTTAGGATGTACATGTGTGTGATACATTATAAGCAAGCCTATGATGTTCTAAGTGATGCAGCTGAAATATGAGAGACTTAGCATTCGAGGGGTCACCTTCATCTGAGTGTATTGTGCGCACAGGCAGTGGGGAGTCTTTCTATTGCACAAACATATGGCAAGAACCCCAGTTTTCAGCTGGCTTTTTTTAATGCTGGGTAAGCCGAAGTTTCTGCCCACTGGAGGTCTGATTGCACATGTTGGATGCTGATCTTGTGTTCAGGCCCACAGTCACAAGTGTCATCACTGTACTACTATGCCCTAGTGAGGCTACATATAGAGTACTGTGTCCATTTCTGGGCTTCCCAGTTCAAGAGAGACCAGGAACCACTGGAGAGAGTCCAGCAGACGGCTATGAAGATTATGAAGGAACTGGAGAATCTCTCTTATGAGGAAAGGTTGAAAAACGTGGGTCTGTTTAGCCTGGAGAAGAGGACACTTAGAGGGGATCTTATCAATGCTTATAGATATCTAAAGGGTGGGTATCCAGAGGATGAGGCTAGTTTCTTTTCAGTGATGCCCAGTGACAGGACAAGGATGAATGGGCACAAACTGGAACACAGGAAGCTTAAGATCAATGTGAATAAAAATCTCTTTACTTTGAGGGTGACAGAGCACTGGACCAGGCTGCCCAGAGAGGTTGTGGTCTCCTTTTCTGAAGATATTCAAAACCTGCTTGGACACGTTCCTGTGCAGCCTGCTCTGGGTGAAGGGGGTTGGACTGGATGATCTCCAGAGGTCCCTCCCAACCCTTACCAGTCTGTGATCCTGTGAGCAGTTAGGTTCACCTTTCCTTCTCTACTAATAGCTTATGCCCGTTTTCTTACCACCTTGCCTCTCAGGCTTTAGCTCCTTTGTGTGAAGAAGATAACCAAGCACAGGAGATCATTAAGAAGTTGCAGAAAAGCTTGCAGTTCCTTAGCCAGTATGCAGCCCGTGTCGCCAGTAGAGCAGAGATGTTGGGAGCTATTAATCAGGTAACCATTTCCACGTAAATGTCTTTTGTACAAAAGTTTTCCTGGAGGTGAAGGAACAGCAGTCTGTTTGCAAGGCTTCTGGTTCCAGAACTAGATTTAGGAAACTTGTGTATGTAATGCTGACTGTCCAGTGCAGCTTAGTCCAGGCCTCCTCCTCTCAGATAACTGTTTGTGTTGTTACAAGAAGTCCTAGGCACTGAGAGCAGCTATGCTGCACCAGCATTGTGCAAAAAACACACAGCAGAAATATGGTCTCTATTTAATAGAAAGCCCTCTACCCCCCCACCGCCCCCCCCAAAAAAAAAAAATCTGAAAAAACTTGCAGCAGAGGAATCTGTACAGTAGAGAGCATAAGAATGCAATGTGCTAACAATAGTCTTGATGCTCTAATGGTATTTCTGTGCCTTCTGGAAAGGGCAGCTAATAAGCTAAATCTATGGAAATTTACAAAGACCTGCTCAAATGTTATGCGTAATTGTGTATAATGCCAAAGAACAGCATGAAAATATGACTTGGCAGTACTAGCAAATGCGTGGTGGCAGCTGAGACTGTAGATCAGAGAAAGAGATGAGGAGGAGTTGTAAAGGCTTAGAAAATGAAGACTAATTTACTTAAGATAAGAGTAGTTGCTAGAGAAATAAGAGCTGTGTTGAGAAATGGGTTGTAGTGAAACTATGAAAGGGTGGACAAAAAAGAGGATGTTGCATTATAGAGATACAAGATGAGGGTAGATGGCTAAGGGAAAGGAAAGGGGGAGAAGTCTTAAACCCTAAATGTGATGCAGGTCCTCAAGGAGACTTCTTTTTTTTGTTTTTTTTGTTTTTTTTTTTTACTGCTGTTGCACCTACTCTGTTAGGAGAGCCGTGTCAGCAAGGCTGTGGAGGTCATGATCCAACACGTGGAAAACCTGAAGCGCATGTATGCAAAGGAACATGCAGAACTTGAGGAGCTGAAGCAGGTCCTGCTCCAGAATGAGAGATCCTTTAGCTCTCTTGGAGACCGAGGTAACTCAAGAAAAACTGCTTAGTCTTTCTTTTTCATAGCATCTGCCAGAGAGACCCTTAAAGTTGAAGTATAACATCTTAGGTGGAGGGGTTATATAACTGCTGTATCTCCCTTTCCTAAAAAAATAGAGGAAAAATCAGCAATTTACTAACAGCATTGGAAACAATTCTTGTTTCTTGTTGAAATTAAACTGTCATGGGGGGAAACATTGCAAGCATGCAGTAACATTCTGGCTTTTAGAAAAGTACATTGCATGTGGTGGTGATAATCTTACTCCTTGTGAGCAGTAAATTCAGATGCTCACTCATGCTGGAGCACTCCCAGCAGCTATTTCTAGGTAGCTGAGCTTTCACCCCTCTCTACAGATGCTTCCTACTCTTTAAGTGTGAATTCCACACTCCTTAAGTCCAGGTACTCTGAATTTCCCTCTCTAAGCAGATGGTACAGTGGTCAGGTTTTCAGGTGGCACTGTGCACCTGTGGCTTTGCCAGAGAAGTATTAAATTTTTCTGAAAAACAGAGCATGTATTTTAAAACCAGACAAGGCGGTCTTTACATACAAGTAAAATCCTTGCAAGAGCCTTCTGAATCACAGGGTATTCCTTTCTTGTAAAAGATTGTACTGTAACAGGACACTGCCTCAATAGCAAGAATACATTTAACAATAGCAACAAAATTTGATGGTTGTAGAGGATGTACAATGTGTGAATATTATGAACTTGTCTAATGAAATAGAAAGCTTTTTCCCAAAATCTCATTTCTGCTTTCTTAGAGTATTCTGATACACTGCTTAAACAGATACTGCAAAAACTCAGACCTTTAGTTGCAAATAAGCTCACTGTGTTCCTGTAAGCCTTTCTGATATTTGATCTCTTCACAGATGATTCTACGAATAAAAAGCTACCAAATCCTTTTAACTTTAAGGTAATGGCCCTTACAGCCTAACATGAAACTCAAGTATATTTAAGTGTGTGTGTATTTGTTTTGTTGCTTTGTCATGTGCTGGTGCTCTGCTACATGGTTGACTTAGTTGTTTTCTGTCTCAAATGTGGGCTGGGGGAAGTTTTTTTTCTATCACCTCTACCTCCCCCTACCAACCCAAGGGAACTCCATGTGGTCCCACTTGGAAGATGAAGTGTTCACAGAAGCTGAAATGGCTGTGCTCTCGTGCAGTGGTTCAGATATATTGTTCATGTGTGGATGACTCATTGGGGTTACGGAAGAGGGCTAGCACAGAAAGATTAAAAAAAAAAATAAATGGGAGCAATTCTAACTGACTGTAAGAATTCCTGTGAGCACCATTAGGGGAATTTAGACCCATTCAGTTTTGGTATTTTGCTGGAAGCTGTGTAGCCAGCCTCACTTCCAGGTGCTTAGGAGGGGAAACGGCAGCTTAATGTGGACAAATGGTGCTTTAAAGGATGTGGTTTGGGCTGTGCTTATGATCTGATTCTTCTTTGTTTGTCACTTCAAGTCAAGTATCAACATCCACTTCTTTTGTACAGTTTGTATAAAAACAAATTGTATTTTGTGATCAGTGAGTAATCCAGTCATTCCTTGATAGAGTCAGTAATGCCTCTTATTTGTATAGCCGTCAGCATCCCTACGAAGAGTTAGCATTGCAACATTGCCTAGGAGTGCTGGAAATGCAGGTATTGGGTTGCCACTGGTAAGTAAGGGTTCCCAGATGGTGAGGCACTTTACCTTCTCAAAACTGGCTGGGCTGAAGCATAAAAATGCCCGTGCAGTAATAAGTGTGTCAACCCTCTTCTCCAGGCCCAACTCCATGAACCTGATGGAGATGAACGGAGTGATAGATTCAACAGGAGATCAAGCAGCTGGTAAAGTTACTTGGGTTTGTCTTTGAATAAGGTTAAATTTTCAACTCGTAGAGGGCCTGCATTGAGCAGCTTATGGAGAGTCTTGAAGTATAGTAAAATTTAGGCTGCATCTTTCACACTAATTTTACATACTTCAATAGGTTAATGAGCCTTTGTGACTGAATGTCACAGCTTTTTTTAATTACCTTGACTGTCTTGTGTTAGAACTAGTATATGAAAACTAGGTGCCTGGCATTGATGGGTTTGTTGTTTGTTGTTGTTTTTTTTTAAAGCCTAATTTCAGGCAAATAATTTTGAAACTTATTTGTCTAAGGCCTACTCCAATAAGTAGGCTTCTACTCAATTTCTAATTTCCTGCTATATATCTGGTGGGGGAAATTAAGGCAAATTTTGTTTAAAACATGACAGGGGGCGGCTAGGAGCAAAGCAAAATGAGAAGCGTCCTTCACTACAGCGATTCATCAGCACGTATTCCTGGGCGGAGTATGACCATGAATGTTCTGAAACAAAGTAAGTTCAACAGCAACCTCCTCTGAGGTATGTGTGGAGAGCTGGATGGTTTGTTTTTAACAAACTTAACTGTCCACCACCTGATCAGGGCTATAAAGTGAAGTTCTTCTGAGCTCTGTCACGTTGAATGCTTGATGGAAAACCTTTGGAAAACCTTTGAACTGTTGATGTTTCATTACAGAAATGAGCAGTCAGAACTGCCTACTGAAGTACAAGAAGAGCCATCCAGGAAGGAAAGTATCTCTGAAAAAGGAAAATTTTCATCAAAATGGAACCTAGAGTCAGCGTAAGTTCTCATATCATCGTGAGGTAAAGCAGCATTTGGGTGGTGGACGTGGGAAGAGGAACCAAAGCTGTAGCTTTGGTTTGGCTGTTAACGCACACTTCTTAAATCAACCAACTGGAAGTACACTCAGGTGCTAGACTCTCACCCTGCCAGGTATTCATTACTAACCCTAAACACTGTGGTAAGGAGAAACCTCATGCTATGATCCCACCTTTTGTTTACTCTGTGATAGCTGTTACAACTAAGCTACTAGAGCATACTAACATGGACTTCTAAAAATCATAGAGGATTTGAGGCCTGTGCAAAACTTACCAGTAGCTTGGGCACACACAGACGTGTAGTTACCAAAACTAACTCCAGACTGCTCCAGCTAATTCCTCTGAATCTCTCAAGTCAAGGAAGAGAGTGTTGTCCTAAACAAGTATTGCTTGGAAGCTCTTGCCTTACAGGAAAGGTGGTCCACTGTCTCTGTAAACTTATTCCATGTGAATATCCAATGCTAAGCCTTTGCTATAAGCACTCCTGATCAGGGGAAGACAAGACAATTATGCTAGTGTGTAAAACTGAAGATGGCAAGAACAAATAATTTGCTTTTCCTATTGTTTGATGAAGGATGGAGGTACCCAAATGTCATAAGAGTCTAGGATTTGGATAGCTAGTGAGGGCAAGACTTCCCTCTAACCTCAAGGAAGCCCTAGAACACAATAAAACATAAGGCCAGCACTTTCAGTGCTTTTGACAATATTTCTTGATGATCTGCACAGCAGCTTTTGTGAAACCTCTTCAGAAGCGGCATGTGGTACAGGAAGCATGGATGGACTTAAAAGTTGGGTCCATCACCTACACAGCTTATCAAGAACTTCCTTACTGAAGTCTGCATTTTAAACCCAGAACATAAGCTACCACTGTATGTAGCTCCCAACACAGCAACAACGTTGCCACTTCTGATAGTCAAGGATCTGTATGTTTGTGGGGGCTGGATTGTTTTAGGGTTTTTCAGGGTAGGAGAGTAGTGTGGGAAGAGGTCTTCTAAGTTTTGAAGAAAAACTGAACCACTCTGATTTACTCTTCTGTGCAGGTGCAATTTAATGTCATCATGGGCATCCCATCTCAAAAATTCCTTTTCCAATGCTAACAAAACTGTCTGGGTATCTGTTTCCATCCTGGTACTGCTTGCTGCTCTTACAAGCTTCCTCACTGGGCTCTCTCTTCAAAGACCAGCGGATGCAGCACCTGTAGGAACTGGGAACTCCTGGAATTCACTACAGCAGCTGTTGTGGCCATATACAGGACTTCAACACAATGGACCACCCCCAGTATAACACAAGTTCAGATATTTGTGGTTATACTTTCAATTTCTGGATGACTGTGAGAAGATGAGATAGTATATTTAAGGTTACATGTTTGTGTTTGTTTTGTTGGGTTGTGTGTCTTGGGGAGAGGATTTTTTTTTAAGCATGACTTAAAATTGGAAAACTTTTTTTCCCCATTTGACAAAAGTCATCTTTAGAAGTACTTAAAAGGGTCTCAGAATAAATATGACTAAGTGGTTTAGCCACAAGAGAAGAACTTACTTTGCTTTAATGAAAATAATATGTTTGCATTTTAGTCATTGGAGCTGTTCCAATGATTTGACTGGAAAAGGATTCAAGACTTGAAATGTAACTTTACAGAAAGCTTTTGATAATAAAGTTCTAAAGGAAAGCATGCAGTATTTAAGAATACATTAAAACTCTTGTAGCAAGGAGTAGCTCATACACAACATCAGTCACCAGGAAGCTTGCTGTTTCCACTTTAGCAATTGCTTCTTTGCTGGCAAAGTCCTTAAGCATATGGTAGAGTGTGGAGTGAAATTCAGTATCTTCTTCTAGCTCTTCTGAAAAAGCTTCACTGGTTTCAGTGATCTCGAGCTTTTGTGCTTTCTGGCCATTAAACAGGTAAAGAGACCAGTCTTTGTCTTTGACAGAATCTGCTTTAAGATGCTCACTTACCTAGTGCAGAAAAAAATGTGCTGTAAGATCAAGCCTGTGACACTGACAGTATAAATTCTAGTATGAAATTCTAAATTCTAGTATACTCATGAGTGTAATGCAGAAACAAAACTGAAGAGCTGCTATGAGCCCATAAAAACTGTATTAATGCTCTCTACCTAAGAGACTGTGTCAACACCACAATCTTCAATCTAGTTTGCCTCTGATAAAATGCAAGGTTTGGCCATTCCAGCTGCTGCTCCTGTCTCCATTTGTTTTAGTTCTTGCTCCTGGGATTGAAGTATTAGGCTACACATGTATGTATGTGTGTGTATATGTATGTATGTGTGTGTATATATATATATATATATGTTAAATGCATTTAACTCAGGAGTGAGAGAGCTGCTCAAGATGACAACAGTATGGTACATTCCATATCTACAACCACAACTGGGAGTATTTTTCTTTCTAACTATCTGTGTTTTAGTTCACAGACAGAAACAAGTCAAGGCTTAAGTTGCTTGTTCCCCCCTTTACAGGAGGGAATAAATGAAATCCTATATGGGCAAGAAGAAATTTCCAGATACTAATTCTAAAACTTGCAGATTGGATTGTTATTCAGAGGACCACTACAACAGGATACTTCAGCATCCACCTGTATCATCCCAGCTTTGGCTAGAGCCTCAATAGCTGATCTATCAGTTACACATCCTAGCCCTAGTCTTTGTTACTGAAACATGCATCCCATTAGAGATCTTGCAACTGCATGAGTTGTGAAGCAGGCTCTGAAGTTTTACTAACATTGCTAAGTAGTTTACCCTAAATCCTAAAACTGTTGCACCAAGAGTATATGGTGGGGTTGAAGACAATGTTTGAGATGAGTGTAAGTTACAGAAGTTAATTGTTTCTGTCTCTTTAACTATGATAGAGTTTAGTATTGGTTTTCTCTAGATGCTTAGTCTATATCCACAAACCTTGAACACTACTTGCTCTTGACCTACTTCTTGATTCCACTTGCTTGAGGCAAAAGCAGATGCAACCAGTGCCATCTGTTGATAGGCCCTAACTTCTGCTAGAGGAATCTGTAATGCAAAAGTACAAGTTAAAAAAATATATTTAATTCAGTCTACTACTTCCCTGTGTTCTACAATTGTAAAAAAGCTTGCCTTAAACAAAATCCAATGGCTGAGCTGGCAGAACACCTGTCTACTTCCCACCTGATTCTGCACAACAGGTCTTCATGCAAGAAAGTGTTAGCTAAGTGAATAATAAGTGAAACAACAGGAAAACCATCCTCTTACACTCACCTTCTTGTGCACAGAGACATACTTGTATGAATGCTCTCCTGGGAAAATATTCATACCAGCTTTTTTCAAAACTGCTCTTAGGACAACTGGACTTAGCCATTTTCCTGTGATATGGGAAAGCACATTCTTCTTTTCCACCACCACTGAAGACAACATACATTGGTTATCCTGTTGTACAAACCAGTGAAAGCTACTGGTCATGAAAGCTATTTTCTACTTCAGGCATCAAATAGTAGTATCTCTGCTGTTCTGGATATTGTGTACATTATCTACTCCTGGGCTGAAAACTTTCATTCACATATCCTGAAGAAAGCCACTTTTTCAGAGATGACACTGGTCTGCTGGCCCATGCTTAGGCTCATAGGAGTCTTCTAAAATCACAGCTGTTACTGAACTCATTTACACAGCAATGAGCACATGGACAACCATGCACAACTCGAACCTTTAGAAGGAACAAGCACCATTAATAGTAGGTTGCTTAAAATGCTCTTGGTACATCTGGGAGGAACAATTTTTAAGTCTCTGGCTGGTGAAAGTCTTGAATTCAGCAAGGTAATATCAATCTCAAAGCATTAACTGGAACTTTGCAGAACAATTATAAAGATGCTTTCTTCTGAGCAGTTCACAGACAAATAAATTAAATCACCAGTACTGTTCCTTACAGTGTTTGGAAATGAAAAGATCCTCCCTCATTTTCACTGGTGCAAAGTGAAATTCAAATTCCTCTTGTGGAAGCATCCCAAGTTCTTAAAGGACACTATAATTATTCCACTTTTTTTTTAAATTTGCAAATGTTTTATTAAAAAAAATTATTTACAATACCTTAATTTGTATCTGAATTGTTGCAAATGTTGTAGTAACTACAAGAAGTGCTTCATCTATGCCTGTAGGTCGCAATTCCCATGCCTGATACGGCATGTGGACATGAGCATCCTGGAGAAGTGCTATTGTATAAAAGGCATCCATCCCAAAGGTGACGCTCTTTTCTTGTGGCTCGTGTGTTGTGTTGCTGATGCCATCAGTTCTCCACTGTTGGCCTTTACAAAAGGGATGCAAAAATACAAAGATATATACATAAAACTTTGCTTGTGATATGTGCTGGAGAAGAATTAGTAAAGACATCCTAGGTTAACTAATATTCACAGTTAAGATAAAATATTAGGCACAAAATAAAGAATTCATTTAAGGCAAAAAACCTCCTCATTTTAATTGTTTTTTAAGTAAAAGAGCAGGGCGATTTTGACAGGGAAACTTCTTAATCTCAAAAGAATATAAACACTAATGTAACTGTCACTTCTTTCTTGATATATAGCAGTCTACAAGCTCATTTTCAAGAGTAATCTCAACCATTTTAATAGGTTTTGCTCTCATTCATGAATGCAAAGTCAGAGGTATGTTGTACCTTTCTAACAACTAAAATATCACATTTGGGTTTTAACATTTAGATTTTGTGAACTTAAAACTAACACATGTAGTTAGAAGCTAATTTAGCTTAATGTGGACTTTACACCTATGGATTAACCCTAGCAAAACTTGATTTGTGGTACACAGTTGTACTACTAGCCATTATTAAATGGTGTGTGTTTTTTCCCACTCATATTAAAAACCTACAGTAAAAATATCTCGACAAGCAGTCTGTTATTAGGTACGATGCAGAAATAAAACTGAACCAACAAAACCCCAAATCAATTATCACCAAAGTCCTCAAATTATTTCTGTGTTCTAAATTGGCTTTTTACAGCTGGATTCTGGAAACAGTCCAATTCCAGTATAAATTCCATTATTCAAACTTAAGACACAAAATTATTGATAAGTTAAGTTGGTACCTGCAGGATCCCATCAGGCTATCACAGGATCCTGAAAATACATTGCTTTGTCAGAAGGCCTAAGGGTGATCTGTATTGGTGGCTGTGTGGCATCTTCAGCCTCTTCCAGGGCATATGGGTATGCCTCCAAGCCCACATAATGTACCTTTGGCAAGATGAGAAAAGTACAGATCACATTTTTATTAGAACACAGAGTATCCTACTTTTTTTTCTCTTTAAGTCCACCTAAACACCTGTGGAGTTATTAGTACTAACAGTTTGCTAACATTGCATGTTTCCAACAGTTACACATTTCCAACTACAAAGTTGGTGACAAGAGAAGGGTGACATTAACGAGCCTTTGGACCCTTCATATGCTGTGGGTGGCACCCTAAGGCAGTGCCACAAAGTAGGCATAGTCATGTTTTTAAATAGATCTACAGTCTTCAAAAACTCCAAGAGCACCAGAGAGGCAGAACCATATATTATTCCATTTTGTCTACACAGTGTCAAAGGGAATGAAAGAGGTCCTGTGTGCCTGGCAGTGCAGGTCTGTGTGCTTGGCTGGAATGAAATCCCATGTCTCTTGCTCTGCCCATAGTCGCACTTTCTTAGCTCATATGGGAATTTCACTTCTTAAAGGTTTTTCAGTTTCCCAGTAAAAACTGTGATGTTGGTTAGTGCTGCATCAAGCTGCACAAGTAGGAAAACTAGAACACAATGGCTATAGTCCTCAAATACCTTGCACAGCCTGGACCTGGATTGGCAGTAATTCTGTTGTCATCCAAAGTGTTCCTTTCACATATGAAAAACTAAGAACTTCTCTTTTTGCTTTTACTTTGGCCAAGAGCATTTTCCAGCACAAAGGCCTATGCTAGCCATGCTGGTGAGCACTGCCTGAGCACACATCTCTCTAAGAGCAGGCTGATCTGTTCCCCACAACTGCTCCAAAAAATTGGCCAAGTGTAACCGAAAAATTATTTGAAAATTTGGTCCTCCAGTTTGCCACTCAAGAAATCACGTGTATATTTACGGTGGTGACACACATCAGGAATAGCTCTACAGGGAAGAGGACAGCATGGGCTGTAATTGCTTCCCTCACTTACCTCCACCATGCCCCAGTCCTTGATTTGTTTGACCTGAGGTGGCAGCTGCAGTGCATCGATGTGGTACACGCCGCACACCAGCACAAACCGTTCCATGTCAACAATGTTTTCATTGGTTACCACCTCTTCTTTTTCATTCGCCTCTTCCTGCATCAGTGGATCCTGAACTAAAAAAAATAACCAAACAACACGAGTGAATTTGGTGCTAAAACAAACACACTGAAATTTCCCGCTTCTCTGATTTTTCACTTTTGCACAACACTCTGCGGCATTTGAGCACCATCTACTGGTGTTCCCCAAATCTTTTAACAATCCACTGAAGTCTGGGGAAAGGCAGACAGACAGACAGCTGGACAATGAAAAGCACTTCTTGCTCTGGTGATGAGCTTTTTAACAGATTGATCTCTGATCTAACTTCATGGTCAATTCAAAATGCTTTAAATAGGAACAAGGTTTCACTGACAAAATGAGTCATGTCTTTAATCACAGAAGAATTTCACAAGTCTATGACCCAGTAGATTCTAAATGGGTTTAGAAACATTGTATTGGCACCAAAAAAAGAAATGAGGCAAACAAAAGGGTCTAAGACAACTACAGGTCATATGCTGAAAGTGAAAAACAAATGATACTTATGAAGTACAGGAGGGATTTTTAACAGGTGAAACAAAATTTTCAGATAATAAAGATAATATTTTCTATGCATAATTATGTCTACATTATATTTATTATGAATTTAAGTTTTAATTAATTGAAAAATATTATTAGAAGGCATAAATGCCATGGATGAAAATGCTTGGAAATATTTCATTTAAAAAAAAAAACTGCATAAAGCATTGCACCAGATGTTGCAGAAGAAAGAAGGAAGTTACTGCTGACAGGGATCAAGAAAAAGTGTTCAATAATGTAAACGCATCTACTGTAAGTGTGATAGAAATATGCTTTTATAGAGTGAGATAATCTTATAAAATGGCAAATATCCACATAATCTCTCCAAGCTTTTGGAAAAACAAAACACAAACAAGTGAAATTGGTGTTAATTTTATGATGTCAGATGTAGTTGGACTATGCAAAGTTTTATTCTGCTGTACTCACACAACAACAGAATGTCCTTTTGCAGTTATTGAAAAAAACCAACACAAAAACTTAAACAGCAAACCCCCAAACTTTACAGGAAATAAGAACCATTTTACTATTAATCAACCACAGTAGTAGCTTGCACTTCAACTCACTTTTTAAAATAATACTACAAAAAATATTTGTGTGTCTTCTACACAAACCTATTCATTCTCTCAAGCTAAACCAGCTTCTTAGCCCTGGGTACAGTGAAGTTAAATCCAGACATCAACTGGCTGTGTCTCTCACTGGTTTCCCTATTGCTGCATTCCTGGTTTTCCTCTCTGCTGCCTGTTTGCACTGAGCATCCTGTCAAACTCTGTTCTAAAAGGGGCTGAATAGGTTTGCAAATCATCACTATGGTAAGCATAGTTTAATAAGCCTTCTCTCTGTATTCAAGCAGATAAATAAGCTTGAAGGCAGTCAGATATCATTAGTACAATTCCGTGCACATACATTTCACCTAACACTGGTAGGGATTTCCAAAGCCTTGCAGAAATAAAATGGCAAATTCCTCCAAATGAAGCCCAAGTTCTCTTGAAAACCACCTGACCTGGGTGATCTTTAGGGTCTGGTCTGACAAGTGGTTGCTTGGACTGTGCTCAACAGACACTTTCAGGGTGAGGTGGTTTTTTTTTGAACAAGAAAAAGGCTGCACAGCTCGGCTATGCTGAACAGATTCTAGACACTTTCTCTAAAGGCAGTACTACACGAAAATTCGCTCTTATTAAACTAAAGGACACCACAACACTGAAGAAATTTGTAACTCAACTTATGTACGACATTATAAAGTTTTGGCTCTTAGATTTAGGCCCTCTTTTGGCAAAGTATAGCAGCATGTATCTTGCTTAAAGCACACATTAAAGTAATACTCAGTAGTATCTACACTACCTGCATGCCTACCGTTATATACTTTTGATTAATTTTCTTCTGAGGAAGTAAATCTCACCATACAGCCTGGCAGATGCATAAAGACTGTCTCACTTGCAAACATACTTAAAGATATGCATAATAGTACACAAATGTATATAAACATAATAAACATGAACATAAACATAAATAATAAATTAATTAACTAAAATAAGTGTGGGTGCAAAATCCATTTTCCTATCTATCCTATTTTTCTCCCTGTATTTGACAATCATTAATAGAAACATCAACAAAACTCAAGTGTTATCAAAACATCAATATATTTATAAACTTTGTTCCATTCACAAGGAGATCTGTATCACAATGTTTCCATATGTAAAATAAAATATTTAGAACAAGTGATTTTGCAGTGCTGCACATAAACTAATCAAATACCTTGTGACAGTACATCCAAGATTTCTGATTTCTTCTCAGTTTCCTTCTCTGTCTCATTTTTATCAGCTACGCTATTGCTCTTTTCTTTGACCGAGGCAACAACACTCTATACAAAAAGCAAACAACATTTTTCCATTAGTCAGAGACACAACACAGAAGAGGGTATCACCTCCTTCAAGGAGGCCAAAGGAGGAACCGTACAGTCCCACTCCTCCAGTAACATTTGCACCAATCTTGTTACAAGGTCAAGGTTGTAGGAGAAATAATTTCTACCTAGCTAGTAAAAATAGTTTTGATTAAGGGTACTCTCCAACTTTGGAACTGGAGACAAAAAGAGAGATAAATAGAAATAATTACTTCATTTCCACGGCAAATTCCATCTTGAGTTCCCCAAGTACCATAAAAGCACTTCACCTTTTTAGCAGTCTCTGCACGCAAAAATTATGTTTACGCTGACTTTACAACTACAAGAGTGACATAAAGAAAACTGAAGCCAATGTTGAATTCAGTCATACTGAAACTCTGCCAGAATCCCCACTTGCAGTCTTAGCCTGTGCCTTGCCCATGATATTTATTCACTTTCTCACACTGTTGTCTATTTTCAAAACATTACCCTAGATTTCCAGCCAAATTTCCAACCCTGAGACGAATTCATCCCTGTCACCGCAGACTCCTCTGGAAGCACAGCAGTAGCCAAATTGCAGTTCAGTGTACAAGCCACCCATTTGGGGGCACATGCACATCCTGCGCCCTGTGCTGTGCCTGCCAGGGCGTGGGAGGAACACCCGTCTGCTGAAACAGGGTAGAAGGTGAGGGGAAAGAAGTGTTTAAGCACCGAAAAATGTGGGGGAACTCAAGGCAGAGCCAGACAGGAGGAGAGACTGCAGTAATTGAGAGAAGTGAGGTCTTCAGAGGAAACAGGAAAATTTACAAAACTGGCCTGAGAGAAAAAGAGTAAGACCTAGAAAAGAAAAGGAGAAGGAATGAAATGAGGAGCTTGAAGAAAGTCTGAAAAATGTAGGTAAAAACTATCAAAAGACGAGATTTGTCATGCAAAAAAGAAGCATTTCAGGCACTGATTCACTACAAGGTGTCAAGAAAAAGGCAAAAGGCAAGGATCATTGCTCCAAACATATCAAGGCAGCATAAATCACGATGGCTTACAGTTAACTGTAGTGTTGATGATGGGAATCCAGCTGCCAGAAAGTCCTGGGAAAGGCCTCAAGTGCCAAAGCTTCAGCATTCAGACAGGGAGCAACTGCGTAATGCCGCAATCAAGACCTGCTGAACTGAACCCTATTCTGCACGCTACACGTTTTCCTAATATTGGATTCCTGCAGTGATTTTTATGGGGCTGTCACTTTGTCAGCAGGACATATGTCACAGATTTATAGAAATGTCTTACAATGGCACCTAACATTCCCCACAGCTTGATCCTACTCTGAAACTGCCAACCAAATGTCAACTCACACAAGCCAACTGCACGGCAACTACCACACCCTGTCCCAACGTCCCTTTCTACCTTCTGTATGTCCATCTTTGCTCATTCACCCTACCATTCCCCCAAGAAGACCTATGACACAGTATTCGTACAAGTTGCCTTTTTCTATGAAGCGTTTCAGAACCTGAGGCTTTCCAGCAGAGGACACATTCAGAAGCTGCTGCACTGCAACTGGGCCTTGAGAACAGCAGTACGGTAGAACACCCTTTTGTGATATTTTTTACCTACCTTTCTCCCCTCAGAACACATTTCTTTTCCAGAGGGCACATTGGGCTCTTCTCTGCCTTTCTTTTCCTCTTCTGCTGGTTCTTCTACATTGTCTTTTGAATGCTGAGTTGACTTATCGTTATCAAGGACTTCCAGTTTCGGCACTCTCTGACACCGCAGCCAGACTGGAGATACGTGGTCATAAGAAGTATGCAATATGCAAACAGCAACACTGCTCAGAGCCAGTGACTTTGGAAGATCAAATCCATACTGTGCATCATTAAAAATGTGATTTTTGAATCTGTAACTAACAGTTAAAAGAATAACATTCCCTGGTAAGGCTGGCAGCACTTGCTTTTATATTTCTTCATAAGTATTCAAATTGATGCTCTACATTAAAAGTAATCTAAATTCTCTTTTGTTGCATGGTACAGTCTAAGAAATAGAGTGGGATGTCACGATACGCTTCCTGTCTTGTACTGACAGCTGTCTGTAAGCCCCTCCAGAAAAGCTGTAATTGCATTACAGGGATCAGGAGCTGCAAAAATAACGGTCCTGATTGACAGGATGACAGCGAGGCAAAAGTAGACGGCAGCTCTTCTACACAGTACGTTCCTGGTAAAACAGACTCCTCTAATGGGCAAATTCCTACAGAGGGGAAGCCACCAGCTGTTTGCTTTACATCAGTCTCAGCATCTTCCACATAAAACCCAAAGAGATACGCAGACCTAAAAGTAATTTTGATAATCAACAGTATCACGCAGCCACAGATCCTTGTGACACTGTAGGAAAGAACTAAAGGCAGCACAGGAGGCCAACTTGCATCAGATCAAGTATCTAACTCATCAACTTGGGTACTTGCATCAGATATGGAAGTTTTGTGCTCATTGCAATTTCTGCCCAACAAACCCAGAACAATTCAAGTAACACTTACTTTAGGATAAGATCAGCTGATCATAAGTTCTAAAAATCTTCTAGTAAAGCAACATTTATTTTTTAAGGCTTTGTTGGAAATTTTAAGCGCATCTCTAAGCAGGACACTGCTTAGCACCCAGCCTTCTAGCGAACTTAGCAAAACTTACAGCAACAGGTCCTCAGCCAAGGCAAAGTCTTTTTACCAACATAATCCTCATATTTGCAGAGTGAGAGTAGGAAGTCTGCTCAAAAATCTTGGTTTTAAAAATGTATCCGCTAAATGGTAATCTAAATTAAAAAACAATCTTAGATTCTGAACCTACTACAGAGGATATTTGCACCCCAGGCTCTAGAATCTTTTATCTAACAGAGAACTGAGCACAAAGCATCATTCACTGCTTTACAAGCAACTGTAACGGCTTCAAAGCTATTTAATGCATCAGCAAGAAACGTCCCTTCCAGAGGAATTTCAATTCCCTGCAAGAGTTTTATTGTTTTCCCTGAAAATTTGTTCTGGTAGCAGCAGGGTTCTACTGTAACATTTTAAGAAACGAATTTTATATATACATACATATATATATATATATATATGTACACACACATTTATATGTATATACATATATAAAACACTCCTGTTTTTTTAAGAAAACTCTAATGTAACCAGTACCTTCCTTAGCTGGAAGTCTGTAGAACAAATGCTATTCAATATGAAAAAGACTATGAGAAACTGGTTCTTGGTGTTTACACAACTTGGGTAGACAAGGCCAGGTCTCATCTCAAATTAAGAATTCCAGTGTGCTGTACCTTCCTTTCTTCTTCAGATTGGCCCAAATACAGAAAGTAACATTTTTATCCTTTAAGACTGCCTCCATATTTCCAGTTTCAGAATCTTCATACATATTAGCTGTCTATAAAGAAAAAAGTCAATTAACTCATGTTTTCTTCTTATTTATATCACTTCGATTTACTTACGTTTACACTTAAATAAATAAAAAAGACATGTAGGAATAAAAATACACCGGACCAAGCTCAAGTATATTGTATTTATATACTAAAACATGACAGTTCTAAGCTCAAATCGCTCTGTTAAAATATGAACTATGTTCTTTTTCTTCCTATGATTTCATCAGATCTGTCAGTCAAATACTGGCTCAAATACTCCTTTTCCTTTTTTTGTTTCCTCTAGCAATATTGTTTTGCTAAACATACTTATATATATGCTCAATATACCTAAAATAGCCAGCAAGATCACTACCTATACATGCAACCCAGACAACTGATTCCCAAGTACATTTTCTTGTTTAAATACTCTTTACTCTTTCCAAGATCTTAGTCTAAAAAATATTTTAGTCATATGAATTTATATTAAAAAATGTGTACAAGCTAGCCTTACCTGCTTTTCATATTTGCAATTTTTTGTGCAACTAGCTTTAATTTAAAGTACTGAGACAAAAGAGGAAACAAATTTAATATTGTTCAAGTAACAAGTTCCCCTTGTTTTCAACAGCTCACAAAATCTCACAATCATTTAATCTTAAATGTCTTAGTGATAGGAATTTCCACTGTAAAGCTAAGATTATCAGGGGTTTTGAAGAAATAGAAGTCTGGTGCCTGCTATACACAAGATCTGGAGACTCAAATATTAAATTTGGAAACTGAAATACTGATCTTTGTGACAATTTAATAGCAAAACCAGCCGCCAACCACAGTAAGACACTTGTAGCTAACCTTATGTACATTAGGCATATTACAACTTGGAAGTAATAAATCTTTCTTACTTTAAGGAGTTGTTCTGTTGCTCCATTGTACTTCTCATGAAGCAGATTCTGCAGTTCCAGAATAGATTCCTGGTACTGGACAGTTTCTTTTTCTGTTATCTTATTTGGTGGCGTTTCCAGTAAAAGAAACTGCAACTTCTCAATTAACTAGAAGACATTACACATGGGAAAAGTATCTCTGCTTTGACACCACCCTTATTATACTGTGTCATAAAATTCAAGGAAAATTGGCTTCCTTTGTACCTAAACATATCTTGGTCGCAGAAATAATATTTTTCTACTATAACTCTAGAAATTACGCTAAGGCAGCATTATCAGCTAGACAGCTAACTATGCAAAGTGCTGGAAATTCCAGGGGCAAGTCTGCCTGCCTTCATTCCTCTAGTCCAATTCATTTATTCCTTAACATGTAGGCTGTGAAATCTTAGCTTATGGAATAGATAATTTATTGAACCAGTTGGTTATATGAAGAAACTTGTAGTCAAAAATTAGTTTTCATGAAAAGCTTACAGCTTTCTTTTGGAACCATGTTTTCTATAGTAATAATCTCAACTAAGAAATCAAAACAGAAAAAAAAAAGGAAGGCATACAGCAATTACAGCTAGGACAAGAGTGGTAAGAAGGAACAGAAGCTGGTAACTGCCAGGCTTTTTGCTTGGGTTGCAGCATAGAAGAGAAAGGGAGGACTGATCTGTTGAAATTTTTGGAAAGGACCAGCACATTCATGCTGGCTCAGAAAAAAAGCAGTATGCGGAAAGTGAGAATTGCAGCACCCAGCAAGCATTGCAAGATAGGAAATCTAACACTGAGAATCAAGCCAGCCCAATGAAAGCTGTATTATGCATACGACTTTCACCTCCAATTTCTGGAAGATCCCACTTAATTTTCTGTAAAACACTATAAAGTTAGCATAAATGAAAATAAAATCCTACATGTACAGAGTAGGCACAAATTGCTTAAAATTGCCTCACAAGCCATCAGTGGTTGGTGGCTTGCATTTTGGGAACTCCTGGTTCTTACCATGACACTTCACCAACTGTGTTATACAAGAAGGCTGCTGTCCACTGAAGCACCTATTTATGACATGAGCCCGCGTGTTCTTTCTCAAGACTGTTAAAAACGTACATAGGAAGGAAGATGGATGTTGCAATACTAGAGCTGAGTGTAGAAACATTACACACAAATCCCCCAAATGCACTGCATGTTTAAATTCAATAGTCATCTTCATTAGAGTTAACAATAAATCTGCAATCTAAAAAAGAAATGTAAAAACTGAAGAAAAACTTCTGGGTTTTGAAGGTTTGAGCAATTTTCAATCATATGGCCACAAAAAAAAAAAAGAGGGGGGCTGTTAAGAGTGTGTTCTGGTAAGGTTAAACTGAAAAATACCATTTTAACACTTACATTTAGCACCTGTTCCCCCTTCTTCATCACAAGTTGAATGCCCTCATTTTGATCTTCATGCCATAAGCTCATGAAAGTATTTATTTCCTGCAGCACAGTTGGGTCAGGACTTCCATCACAATTGAGGTAATGCTCCCGCTACAGAAAACGTTCAAAAAAAAGCAGATATGGGCATGTGGTGCAAATGACTATCATTTTTACAAGAAAAAGGAGGATTCTGAAAGACAAATATATTGTAGGGATACATTCACACCTGCATCTAAACAGGACTGTAACACCACCTGGCTTATCGCTATGCCAGAAAAAAATGGTTTAGTTTGATACTAATGTATTCAGACACTTCTGCCCATCGAACATTTGCTGTTCATACTTACTCATTTAGCAGAGGTTTCTGTTCTGCTAGGTAAAGATTACATGTCTACAAAAAGCAATAAATTCAGTACCTGCCACAAATGAGAGGCTGAAAGAATAAATGACTGAACATAAATGAGGAACCAGGGCAGGTGGAAGAGGCAGATGGTTCGCAAAACAGATACTGCCAAAAACCCTGAAAATCCCTACACTGGCAACAAAGCTGCTTAGGAGCCTTCTACTCCAGCACATTTATTCCTCCTTTTTCTGCCTCTGAAGATTTCCTCCTCCTTACCAGCACCAATTCAGCTGTTACAGAAACGTCTCGTGGGAATGTGAAACCCTAGATGTAATTTTTAAAATAATTTTAATTTCAAATCAATTATTGCTCATTCTTATAAGTGGGAGAATAAAAATCAGCAGTAGGCTTTACCCATTTAACTCTAAACAGAACTCTCACATTGGCTCATGAGATCAATTTATCACCTATAACGTAATTTTTTTCATCCAAATAGTAAGATATTAAGGAAGCATTGTCTTCCTGTGAGGATTAATAATGCAATGTTACTGAAGATTGCATTACGGTGTAAAATGTATCTTTTAAAGCAAAAGGGCTTGTTTAATTGCATTCCCAGTCACTTCCATAACCATTTCCATTGACTTCAAAAAAAGCCATAATAGGTGAGTGCTCAGAGCACTGGAAACGTCTGTACAAAATACTGATCAGTCTTCACTAACTGAAACAGCTCATTTCTTTTATTTACATCTTTGCACTTAAAAGAGAAATTCAGTTTAATAATCAGGAAAACACATCCTTAAAAATAACAGCACTTGTTCTTTGAGGAAAAGTTCATGATAATTTGTAAATGTATTCATTAATCTGAACTGAAATTGTTCAGAAATTGATGTGGAAACTCATAATTCTGTATTATATATTTCTTTTGCCCTAAATATTCTTACCAACAGACTAATACAAACTATGGTATTTCCCATAAACTACCAATATTTTATTTGAAGATTTATTAGTTCTATTTGCCATTACTTTTCAAAACAAAACAAAAAAATCTTATGTTTTCTCTTCCGAGAAATGCTCCTCAGAAGCATCCATAAACAACAACTGTCCTCTTTCAAAACAACTGACAGATTCTCATGTTCACAAGGATAATAAAGTCAGAGCTTGTCATCAACTGAAATGGGTAATGAGCATCACCCAAAGGTGTCACAACGTTAACTGTGAAGTTACTGTGCCGCACTGTTGTGGCAACAAAGGCCAAGGGCACGCTGGACTACACCAGGAAGAGTGTAATCAGGGAGCCCAGGGCTGGTCCCTCGGAGGGCTCCTGAAGCCACATCCAGTTTTGGGTCGCTCAGTACAAGAGAAAGAGTGGAAACTGGAGAGTCCAGAGGGACATTAAGGTGGTTAGGGTACTGGAGGAAACAACACATGAGGAAAGGCCAAGCTTTGTTAGTCCGGAGAAGACTAACAAAGCTAGGGGAGGAGCTAACTGCAATCTACCAGCACCTAGAGAGGGCTTACAGAGAAGGCAGAGGCAAACTTTCCTCAGAGGTGCACAGGGACAATATGTGTCATGACAATTAGGCAGCGACCCCAACCTGTAACAAGGGAAATGCCATTCAGCTTTAAAGAGAAATTGTTACAGCAAGAGTGGTAAAGCACTCAAAAAGGTTGCTCAGAAATTCTATGGTATCCTCACCCTTAGAAATTTTCAAAACCCGACTGAACACCTTCATCTAATTTCAGAGTTTGTCCTACTACGTGCAGGAGGTTGAACTATATGAATTTCAGAAGTCCCTTCTAATGTGATCTATCCTATGATTCTAAATTTGTTCCACAGAAGCTTTATAAAGTGTTAAGTGATACGCAAAACAGAGAAAATCCATGTGGCCACAAGTCTATTTAACCTTACCTGGAACCAAACGGACCAAATCTCACATCAGTCTACTACTGAATGATGTTTCTGCAAGATAGATTTACAAGAGTAAAGTGTTCGACTAGTGTATTTCCATACGTTATTATTTAAAAATTAACTTTACAGGCATACTGTACTATTGGGTGATGATCCAACCACCATATATGTCACCCTAAACTGCAGACATTAACTCTTAGCTGCATTTTCACGTATTTCAGTCCCTGGTATCCGACTCATATTTGTGCCATGTCCTTCAAAGTTTTGGCCAATGTCTCTCAGAATGATGACATGTGATATCCAGGAATCACTGGAACAAATGTTGTCAATTGCCTCAAATTCTACAAAAATATTTTTAAGCCCTGGTAGAGCTTTTTTATGGAATGTTTAAAAGTAGAATGAATTAAACAAATAGAAAAGGAAGGACAAATACCAGGACATCTGAAACTATAATTCCTCTTGACTGCTGGGGTAGGTTGTGGGGCCCTAAAACTCTCATTGGCCAGACAGGCTTCTCTTTGCCCATATTTCTTTTCGTGTGCGCCAAAGTTTAGAAGACAGAGGAGAGTGAGGATGGCTAGTTACTACCTTGAGCTGAAACTTGAAATGCAGTCATAGCACACAAAGTTCAAGAAACAAAAGCATCCTTGGATCCTGTAATGGAGACATAGTCTAAAGTCTCTTCATGGTTGAACCTCTACGACACCGGATAGATTTTGGAAAGAAAGCTCACCTTTGCATGGGCTCTGTATTCTGTTTTCCACTGCTGTGCAGACAAAAACTCCTGTTCCAGTGAATGAAGTTCTGCTAGTTCAGACTCCCTTCGTTCTTGATTCTGTTAAAATATATATGTATCAAATAGATGAGATAAATATTTGGTTTACTACTTACAATTATTTTATAGCAAAGACAAAAAAAATAGGATATTTGAGTGAGTTATCATTTAAACAAATCCAGACACCAATAACTTGCTTTTTTATGAAACATTTAATTGAGAAGACTACAGCAGTTTGCAATATGTTATTGTCATCGCATTAGTTGCTGAGCCATATGATAAACATAGTGTGTCATACGATTGTTAATCTCTCCTTTGAACAGTTTCTGTATCATCATCTTGGAACTACCTCTACCGAGAGCTGATGAAAAATGTAAGCATATGTCAGAAAAATGTGTGCCAGATGATTATTTTTTCTTTATAATTTCTGTTATTTTAAATTTATCTTCTTGCTAGAGGGGGGAAATACTCTGTGAAGGACAAGAGGCACAGGCAAGAGTGATTTTTTTTTTCCTGGGGAAATAAATTGTGGTAAATCTTCTTTCTTTTAAAACAAAAAACTCTTTAGGTATCACAAATCGGTTTTTGTTCTGAATTCCAGTCTTTGAAAAACAAGCATACATATTCAAATACACATACATATTCAAATACACATACATATTCAAATACACATGCATACAATCAATGCACCTGTCCTAATATATAACCACTTCTAGAATTTATAGCAAAATTTTCTTGTCATATCTGTACCAAACGTAATTATGGGGAACGCAAAAAAAATTCCAATTCAAAGTATAGTGGAAATAGAAAAAAAAATTTATTCAGACTAGAGTGTCACATATCCCAAAAGTTAATGTATCTTTATGTATCAAAAACAGCCAAGACTGTCTTGTCTCAGAGAAATTTTCTGAACCAAAGCAACACTAACCAAAATATTGGCTTAGTGAAACAACACTATAGAAAAAGATTCAGCACAATTTCTCTTGTCTTTACATGTATTGTGTTTTATTTTACTATTAATGCAGCTTGCAACCTTCTCAACTTGTGGGATCTCATACAAGAGAACCTTTCAATGATTTGGCTAGATTTTTCATTATTAATTTTAATCTAGTGATGCAAGAAGATTTCCTCTATATTGTTCCCAACACTAAGGTCATAAGGAAATTCCTTTCCATTCTCACACTAAATTAATAATGTTTTATAGACCTTGTCACAAATTTAGAAATAGCCTTAGAATTTTTCAGTAATTATTGAGTATGAACTAACTTTTGCCACAAGCTTTTCCATCTGCTTTTGTTCAATTCTCTCCTTTTCAAGTCTGGCTTCTGCTTCTTTTTCAGCTTGCAATCGGGCTTCCTCTGAAAACTGGGAAATAGATCAAGAGCATAATTATATCTTGCTCAAAAAATACCCCAGATAAATTATTTTGTTATTAGCTGTAAGGACAAAACAACTATAATAATGAGCAACACAAAGGTGTATCTTAGATCACACAGAAATCTTCCAAATGAGTCAGGTTACTTAGAATCACAGTACCAAACCACACTATCTCTGGCACTACCCCTATCAGCCTGTGACAAGTGGAGACAAGGATAAGTAAGCCCTTCTTTTCCCCTCAGAAACAGCTGCAGGAGTACCCTCTCCCTTTATCTACAGTTTGAACAGCCTCAAGTTCTTAATCCAATGTCTATGGGGAAATTGCCTAACTGGTTCAGTCCCAATTTACTCCTCTTCTCTCATACAATCTCTGGTAGGTACATCAATCTTCTAGTTACTTCTTCATTGAAATCCTCTTCACAAACAGTTACTCCTGATCAGAGTTTATAGCTTTTCTTTGCTGCCACAGGGACTAGAAAATCAGAGAGGATATGAAAACTAAGATTTCAAACTCTAAGCCTTCAAGCTAGCATAGCCTATGCATCAACCCAGATGTCCCCAAACAGTTGCTTGAATGTCACTGCCTACGTGCAAATCACTTCAGATAGATCTGTGTTGCACAGCGGCAAGAGCAATGGCAGTTCCCAAATCTGCCTGTACTCTCCCCAGCCACTACCCCATCCACAGAGGTTACTTATGATTAGTAACTATTTTACTAGTATTAGTAAAATAGTATTAGTTACTATTTATTAGTAACTATTTTTAACTATACTACTTACTATTAGTAGCAGTCATAGAATGCCCAAACCCCCACCAGGATGGGTAAATAGCAGAAAGGGAAGAAGAGATGGATCTGAAGCTTCGACAGGGGTATTGGTTGTGATACTAAACTGCAGATGGGGAGGACAGGTCAAGTCATGCCACTGGGATTTCATTTTAAGGGCTACAGTGATACACAATAGGAAGATCTTGAAGAAGAGGTTGGAGGAATCAGTCATCAGTAGAGACAGAAGAATTAAGCCCAAGCAAACTACACTTTAACCTCTCCTAGTTTGTAGTCACCTTATCTGCTACCCCTTTAGAACACCAGCAAGGCCCTGCCAAAAGAAGTACTCTGTTGGCCTTCTTTGGATAAAGTCCTTTTCGATAATTTCTCTTAACTACTGATAACTAGGCTTGGAAGGGGGGTGGGGAGAGAGAAAACAACAAAAAGCTGCATTTCTAACTCGCTGGGAATATTTCCAAAGGTTATGGTAAGAGAAAAAAAAAATCCTTCCAGCCATCCACCTTCCCAAATTCATAATCACAGTAAGACTAACTGGAAAAAAGAGAGTATGATTCTAATACGAAAGTGAGATGTGGGAGGCAGCAACAAGTAACACAGAACTTGGCCTACACAAGAAAAGAGGGATGAATCACTTGTATATGTGAAATAGAGATAGATATTGGTGCACACGTAGTTTGGAAGATTACTTTCTGTCCATTTATTTAAAATAAGTGATTTATGCCATCATATTTCCTGTAAATGAAGCGCACAGTACCTTCCTCTTTCAGCCTCCTTTCTTCATCTTCTTTCTGTAATCTCAGTTGTTCAGCTTTGTTAATTTCCTTTTTGTCAATGGACTTAATGTTTGCAATAAATTAGAAAAAAACAGATGTCAGTATTAGTTTAATACATTTAGGCAATCCACACCCTGGACTCAATTTTCTTCTCATTTTCATGATGCAATATACACTCTCACAATTAATATTTTACTCTATGCTAGACATATCTGAACACACCCACAGCAGGGGGAACATTAAAACCTCTTGTTTTAATGTGGAAATTGAGTAACAGGTAGATTTGCTACGAAAGTGGATGTTACAACTTCAAATATTTTGTGAAATATTTAGAAATGTATTTTGGGATAGAGGTAAGTCTGGCATTTAGGAGCATCCAGTTCACAAGGCAACTAATAAACAGTTCTCTTTACTGTCATAAAATCCTAACTGCAACTCAATTAACTGTTCAATCTCTAGGTCAATCCTAGAATAACTGTATTTTCAATTTGTGTTTCTCAGAAATTATCTTCCTTGTCAGTTCTTTCCAGTCTAGGTACACATTTAAAAAAAATAAAAGCCAATATAAGTAACATGCAAAATCTGCTGTCATGTAGCTGATTAACCAAAATAAACCACTTATTTTGTCCTGTAATTCATAGCATTCATAGAATCCTCACTGATGATATGCTTAAAAATTTGATAATTGGATCTGTGCACATGAAGCCATTTTATCTTCAAGAGACTTGAACAGCTAGGATGTGGAAAGCATCATTCTCTCTACATTTAAAGATTTGGATTTGGTGCTTCACTTTTTTCCTCATGGGCAAGAAGAAAAGTTCTTGGATGGGCTTCTGGTTTTTATTATCATTTTGTTTTGGTTTTGTGTTGACACAATCTTGGGACATGTAATCAAACGTGTAGGATCACCACTGTTGCTAGAAAACAGCACTTAAAGACACGCGGGAGAAAAACACTGATTTCCTGTTTATACAGTAGTAAAAGCAGCCTAAGGTTGCAATCCTCATCAAGCACATAGTTAATAAGGACTAAATTCTCATTATTCAGTTTTACTTAGTGTTGCACTGCCGTTGTATTGCACACATAATAAACTTGCAGTCACTGCGCCTTGACTCCACCTGAGGTTGGTGGAATGACAGCAGGGAGGAGTGCTGCTCCTCAAGGCAGATGCTGCAAAGGCAAGGACTGAATACAGTAGATATAAAAAAAGAAAACCAGCCAAAAAAACCCCAAAAATACAAAAAAAAGGGAGGGTGGGAGGGGAGAAAGATGGGCCAGGAAGTAAATTGAAACAAGAAGTTTGTGGAGACTGTTAAATAATAAGGAGGCTGATTTTGTACTGAACTGCAAAATTAATTAATGGCCAATGTTACTGTTTATGAGTGGGACAGATAAAGCTATTTTTATTTTTTTCTTTGTATACATGAGAAAATAAAGCATTATATTCTGCACAGGCTTCAGCACATGGAGAAAACAAAAGACTGACAGCAGTCTAAACGAAGGCTAAAAGCAAAAGTACGGATGATAAAATACAAGATGTGAAGGAAAACAAATAACTTGCATTTGGTGGTGTATCAATGCAGTGGCTGAACAACAGTATTCTGCCACTGACACACACAGATGAAAGAGAATTAAATTAAATCAAATGTTTACTTTTTTAAAATACAGAAAATATGCAATGTAAATGGGTTTGGAGGGAAAGGCGACATGAAAAGAGGAGCCACATCCTCTACCCAGGCATCTAACCTGGATGCTGCATGTTAGAGAGCTGACTCCCAAGTTGCTACACCACCATTGGTGAGAGACAAGTGGTGACAAGGATTCAGGCAGGTAAGGCAAAACGCCTAAAAGAGCACAAGTTTCAGCAAGAGAATATAATTGGACGGTATCCCAATGTAAATAAGGACTAAGGATCAAAAGCATCAGTTAGGAATCCAATCCTCCCCTTCCACAGAGACAGGGGTACATAGAGCCCATCTTGCAGAGGTGTAAATAAAGCAATAAAGAAAGAGGTCCAACACAGCTGGCAGGGAGAGACAACAAAAGAGGACTTAAGTGCAGACAGTTGCAAATGAACAGAATGGTATTAAGTTTTCCCACCCACTCCACCGAGTATTCCTAATAGTTTGGTAAATACTGTTGCAAGTAATCCAACTGACAAGGGCCTTGGGAATAATCAAGGGGAACCTTTGCCATTCACAACAAAAAGTGTGTTACAAATACTGTTGCTTCACATTTTGATTCTGACTAGTATGCTTTCAGATGTAAATAACCACTTGGAAAGCTGTTCAGTTTACACTACTTTGCATGGCTATAAATACATAAATGTAACTTTGAATACAAAGGTTATCACAAAGCTTGAACAAAACAGTGGTGAAAATGTAGTGCAAACAACAAATGCACGCCCAGCAGAGCTGGCATGAATCTGGTCACACTTGCTACCAAAGTATTTATTTGCAAAATTCTCCTAAAATAAAGCATGTAAAAACCAAAATTCTACCCATTAGGATTTCAAGGAAGAATCAGTTCCTTCCAGTTAAAAATAAATAAATCAAGTCTTTCATTACTTTTCTTCCAGTGAAAATGGATAATCTGCTTGTTTCAATTACTTATAATCACATTTTAGTCAACTTCTTTTCACATTCTTATGGCTTCATGCAGCACTGACAAAACTGAGATGCACACTTCTCCAAGGAATACATTTGAATGTGTTCTTTTTTGGGTGGATAATTTCATTAGCAGTGAAATAAGAATAATCCATGGGCATAAATTTATGCAATCTGGTTTCCCGTGGACTTCTGTCTGTTGTCCCCTCTACCCATCACACTCTGTGCCCAGCTTGCAGCTCAAAGCCCAGGCACTGCCTCTCTGCCCAGGCAGCTGCTGCCAGGGAAAACGCAGAGGGGCTGTGCTTCCCACCTTCTCTCCAGTAATTCTGCAGGGACACGGCTCAGCCTCCTTGCAAAAAGCACAAAAGCTTCGTGTCCTGGAGATGTCTGCTCCTCTTTCAAACCTGAGCCTGACCAACTGGCTCAGGAGAAATACAGATTAAAACAAAACTAAACAAAACAACCCCACAACTTTTTTCTTTCTAAAAAGCACACTTGCATACAGTTAGGGTGTCACGGCACCTATATTATGACTCCTAAAAATAATGTTTTGTAGACTTTGTAGTCCAGGAGCAACTGATGCTTACTTTAATTTCAATATGAAGTGCTTTGTAATTGTACTAATTTCATTTCCAAAATCAGAGAATTGTGCTGGCACACTATCTAAATGAACACTGCAAGGGTCAAAATGATGAGTGTGAACTAGAGCGTATTTCTGCCTACCTACCTTCTTTTTATGTTTCTTTTTCTTTTTCAGACCCTAGAAGATCAGAGTGAGAAAATAAAAAGGAAAGTGAGCATCAGAGAACAGGGTATCAAGCATAAAGGAGTAATTAGAAAATACGACTATTCTATAAAACTAGATGAGATTAACTGTTGGAAAACTACAATGACAGTAATTTCAATATTGCAGAAATTTACCCACTAACATGTGACTCCAGAACATCATAATTTATCAGGCTAGGTTAAACTTATGGCTATAGTAGTGTATCTACTTATTTCCATCATTAAAAAAATAATGTACAACAAATATGTAATTTAGTCCAAGATACAATTTAATCATAAAATGTCTTCTGATCAACTGATACTATGTGCTACTCCTAATAACACTCAATTGCATCATGTGATGAATTAGAAGTACACAGAAACACCACCAGAGTCTTATTCATGGGGAAACTTCACTGCACATGCAGTGAAGAAATGCAATTAGGGGACCTCTCCAAATGAGTACAAGAAATAAAAACAGGTTCTATAAAGCCAACACCTAACAGCGCATCCCTTATTTGATTCACCAAACAATTACCTTTCCTGTGCAATGTCTAAATATTGCCATGTGAATGTACTTAATTTCGGTGCGATTGATTACCCACATGAGAATATTCCCTGGGGGGTGGTGAAAGGGGAAGAAGGAGAAGTCAGGCTGTGCATGGGAACACAGAGAAGTTTGCTACAGTAGAGCGATTCTGACAGCAAGTACTGAGCTATCTCCAAGCTGGGTTTCCCACTAAGCAGTAACAAACCGTAGCACAAGAAATTAGATCGGGGGATGCCAAGAAAGCTAACACGCCCTTCAGGTGATTTTTTTTCAGTCTTAAATCTTTCTTTCCATACTCCAGTACATCAGCAGCCCCTGTGGAACTGTTCAGCCCAGCCCTTACCCACCTCCCCACCTAACCAGCGTCTCAGGGCGCCGTTACCGCTGCTCTGGCCTTCCCCCACTACCTGCTGGAGCTCAAAGCCCTGCGGCTACACCGGCACCAGCCCACCGCCCGGACCCAGGCCGCTACCGCTC